GCTGAGTCTCACCAGTGGCTATGGATGAAGTCACAGGCAATTTTCAGCCAGCACCGGCAAAGGCCATAATTTTTATAGAAGCAGCTTTGTACCTTGGGCCAGAGGGTGGTTTGAATTGTCACCCTTTCCATGAAGCAGCCCAGTGCTTATCCTATTAAAATACCAGGACACGGCTATTGTTATCAAGTGCCTTTGAGTAGAGTACAACTTGTAGGGACCCAATGAACAATAGATCTGAACCTGGCCCTATCCTGCATCACCCTAATCATCCCCCTATATCAGAGCCTATTGCTGCAGACACTGTTGAGGGTCCAAGGAATAGTCTTTCCTAACAACATGCCCAACATACATGAGACAAAAGATCTCTCATCCTTGCCTCCAAGGAGCATTGTGGTCACACCTTCTCCAAGACACATCTGTTTGTTCTTTTGGCAGTCCATGGGTATTCAGCATTTTTCTCCAACAATACAAGTCAAATGCATGAATTCTTCTGTCATCCTTATTCTCTGTCTTGCTCACAGATGCATAACATGTGACTGGAAAAACTATGGCTTGAATACAGGACACCTCAGCCTTTAGTATGGCATCATTGCTCTTGAGGGCTTTAGAGAGATCCCCAAGAGCAGACTTTCCCAGTGTAACATCTCCTGACTGCTAGTACCAAGGGTACTGATTGTGGATCCAAGTAAGATGACATTATTGACAATTTCAAGATTTTCTTCATCTATCATGATGTTACCTGCTGGCGTAGTGGTGAGGATTTTTATTTTCCTGATGTTGGGATATAATCCACATTGAAGGTGGCAGTGCTTGATCTTCTGCAGCAAACTCAAGTCCTCCTGACTTTCAGCAAGTAAGATTGTGTCAACTGCATAACACAGGTTGCTGATGAATATTCCTACAATCCTGATGCCATACTCTTCTTCATAAAGTCCAGCTCTAATGATTTGTTCAGTATTCATAAGTATTTATTGAGTAACTAGTATGCACCAGACACTGGGGAAGCACTGGGAATACAGAAGTGAACAAGATACAGTCCCTGCTCTCAAGGAACTTCCAGTCTAGTAGGGAAGATGGACAAAAAACAAAATAAGAAAATAACTAGATGATTACAGATTATAGTGTGTATGATAAGTAGTGCAAGAGATGGTAGGAGGGGTGCAACTTGAGTTAGAGAGGCCAAGTAAGGCTTCTCTAAAGTGGTAACGTCAGAGAATAGAGAAATAGAGCTAAGAAAAACAATACCCAACACAAAAACTAACCACAAGATTCAAATACTTGGGAGCAAATCTAACTAGAGACACAAAAGACTGATGCAATGAAAATGACAAACCATTACTACAAGAATCACCTAGAGAAATGGAAGAATATACCATGCTCATCAAGGGTATCATCCAGGAAGAGTACAAATGGTCACTGCAGACAGAAGAGGAAGCGAAGACCAAAATGGATGTCAGAAGAGACTCTGAAAATTGCACTGGAGCGCAGAGAAGCCAAAGCACAAGGAAGAAAAGAGTTGGATAGAAGATTTCAAAAGGCAGCACGGGATGACTAAGCAAAATATTACAATGAAATGTGCAAGGAGTTGGAGTCAGAAAATCAAAAGGGCCGAACTCGCTC